TACATTTATATATAATAAGGAATGTCATCTGCATCACTTTTTTTTTTTCCCTACAGATAAGTAATGGAACTTCATCAGTGATTGTACCCAGGAAACGCACTTCTGACGGCAATTATGAAAAAGAAAAAGACTTGTGTATAAAATTTTTTGATCAGTGGTCTGAATCAGATCAAGTTGAGTTTGTTGAGCACCTTATATCTCGGATGTGTCACTACCAGCATGGTCATATTAACTCGTATTTGAAGCCCATGCTGCAGCGGGATTTCATTACAGCACTGCCGGGTAGGTGAACCTGTGACCACAGATTTCTAACAAAACATAATTGCAAAACCTAATCATCTTCTCATGCTCAATAATTCACCCATGTTCACTTTCAAAGTTAATTTCACTTTATAAAGTGAATGAAGTGAAAACTAAAGTAGAAGGTCAGGCCAATTACAAGTATTAGCAATGCTGCCTCTTCTTTCTCTTACCTATACTTTGTAGCCTGAATAAAAGAGCGAGCAGTGTAAATAAATTTTTGTCTGGTCACATGATCCTCCAGCTCCCCTGTGTCAGCAGCTGCTGCAGGGGAGAGGTGGAAGTGCTGGCGAAAGAGACAATGGGAGCTGGTGGGTGACGTCCAGGCTCCAGGAATTAACAGGTGGTGTTCAGCTCTTCTTTAAAGCAGAACTCCTAACTTTGCAAAGTGTACCCAATCATGGGCAAAGAAAATTGAAAAAAGTAGGATTTTTTGCTTGCAAATGATGATTGGATGATTGTGATTAGCACAGCTTCTAATTTGCTGAGCTAAGTGGAAGTTGCAAAGAGAAAATTCTCTTCTTTCTAATAAATGAAGTGAATTTGTGCTTACTTCATCCAATCATGCAAGCAAAAAAAATGTTTTTTATTTTATATGTTTCTGATTTGGGTTTTCTCTGCAGTGGGAATTTATACATGGTTTCACTTCATTTACTAACATGGAAATTTAGCTTGCACTGTAAATATTTACTTTGAAAGTAAACATGCTTATATGCCTATAATAGCCTCACCGTGTTAATTACATGTAAACCAGAAATTAACTTCAGGTGAGGCAATGCTACTGTGGGAGAAGACAGTCTAGGCCAGGTTTTGGAGGAAAAAGAGCACTAATGGTGCAGGTGTGTGCTGGGTTATTAGGAGAGCCAGAATAGAGTTCAGGGTTCCACCCTCCCGGGAGATAGTGTGTGTGTGTGTGTGTGTGTGTGTGTGTGTGTGTGTGTGTGTGTGTGTGTGTGTGTGTGTGTGTGTGTGTGTGTGTGTGTGTGTGTGTGTGTGTGTGTGTGTGTGTGTGTGTGTGTGTGTGTGTGTGTGTGTGTGTGGTAAGGGACCAGAGAGGTGCACATTTGCACTGCTCTGTCCGAAATGGGACAAGTAGTCTGAGCCTGTAGGAGGCAGAGCAGCAGGGAGAAGCAGCATAAGAGCCAGCTGTGGAAGGTACAGCAGTCGGTGCAGGAGCATTGGGATGTGTTTGATGATTAGGAGGACTAAAGTACTACGTTTTAGCAGTAAAGCTGCAAAGATCCAGGAGGCTGAGTATGATTTTGTTTGATGGTGGAAACCCCTGCGTGGACAACTGGTACTTTATGGAATTTTTCTTTGCCATTTTAAATAAAAGTGGGCAGAAAAAGGGCTGAAAAGACACCTGGCGTGAAGTCAACACACTACCAATGAGCTAGAAAATCCCCAACTTGTCACAGTATGTACCGTATTTTTCGCTCCATAAGACGCCCCTGACCATAAGACGCGCCTAGGTTTTAGAGAAAAACAAGAAAAAAAATATTCTGAACCAATGGACTGCAGACATAGTACAGGAGATGACCAGAGATTGCGGACACAGTACAGGAGGTGACCAGGGACTGCGGACACAGTACAGGAGGTGACCAGAGACTGCGGACACAGTACAGGAGATGACCAGAGACTGCAGACACAGTACAGGAGATGACCAGAGACTGCGGACACAGTACAGGAGATGACCAGAGACTGCGGACACAGTACAGGGGATGACCAGAGACTGCGGACACAGAACAGGAGATGACCAGAGACTGCGGACACAGTACAGGGGACGACCCAGAGACTGCGGACACAGTACAGGGGACGACCAAGAGACTGCGGACACAGTACAGGGGACGACCAAGAGACTGCGGACACAGTACAGGGGGCGACCAAGAGACTGCGGACACAGTACAGGGGACGACCAAGAGACTGCGGACACAGTACAGGGGACGACCAAGAGACTGCGGACACAGTACAGGGGGCGACCAAGAGACTGCGGACACAGTACAGGGGGCGACCAAGAGACTGCGGACACAGTACAGGGGACGACCAAGAGACTGCGGACACAGTACAGGGGACGACCAAGAGACTGCGGACACAGTACAGGGGACGACCAAGAGACTGCGGACACAGTACAGGGGACGACCAAGAGACTGCGGACCTTTGGGGAGGGAGGGGGAGCGAGTATCTGAATTTGACAGGTACCCGCTCCCACTTCCGCGGAGTTGTCCTCCCTTTAGTGTGGGCACCCAGCTGTGACAGCCGGGTGCCCACGGCGCATGCGCGAGCAGCGCTGCTCTTTTTGAATGGCCCGGCATCTTCTGGGACCTGTCCCAGAAGATGCCGGACCATTCCAAAAGTGCAGCACTTCTCGTGCATGCGCAGTGGGCACCCGGCTGTCAGATGCCAGCGCAGGAAGACTGTACAGCGCTGGACCGAGGAACAGGTAAGGTCCTGCTGTAGAGAAGAGCTGAGTGGCCGGCCAGTATTCTGACACTGTGGCGGTGGCGGAAATACCAGACCAACCGTTCCATATTTGCTCCATAAGACGCACTGACATTCCCCCCCCTTTTTTGTGGGGGAAAAAGTGCATCTTATGGAGCCAAAAATGCGGTATGTATATATGGGGAACAAGGCAGGAACTTACACAAGTGAAATTGTCTCTACCCTATTTTATTCTGAAAGAAAGAAAGAGGGAAGTCTTGGGGAAACCATGAGCCACTTCAATTGCAGTGAACACTTTCTGCCCAGCAGAGGAAGCCGCTAACATAGGAATGTCTCCTCTCATGAGCCAACAGTTTTCCTTTTCCTCTCTGTGCTGGCACTCAGGCAAGCTTACACTGCCATGTTTACTTTGGCCAGCTCTTGGAAGCACCTGATTCCTGTCATGGAAGGAACCATTTAACTACTTGTTTACCGTGCTATAGTTCGATCACAGCTAGAGAGTGGTCGGCTGGTTCTGGAAGGGTGTCTACTGATGTCCTCCCAGAACCAGGGCGCGTATTGGTAGTGCTTTGTGATCGCTGTGTCCTTTGGATAAGGCTGATTACAGCGAGAGGTAAATGGCCAATCACAGCAGCCCTGTACCAAGTGATAAGCTGTGTCCAATCAGAGTAAATAGACTTGGCAGTTATCAGAAGTCTTCTCCTCATGCGCTGTGATGAGATCCAGTAGCTGGCGATTTTCATGGGGACATCTACACTGATAATTGGGGCACTGATCATTCATGCCCTGACTATCAGTGCAGCCTCATCAGCGAAGGAGAAAAATTACTTTGCTAAATTTTATAACAAACTTTTTTTTTTTCCCGCAAAAAATAAAAAACTTCAGTGGTCATCCAATACCACCAAAAGAAAGCTCTATCTGTCTCAAAAAATGATAAATATGTGCATATGGCTGCAGTGTTGCATGAACGTGCAATTGTCATTCCAAGTGCAACAGCCCTGAAAGCTGAAAACTAAGTGGGGCAGGAAGAGGCTGAAAGTGCCCAGTAGGCAAGTGGTTAAAGCTAATTCTAGTGCTTCTGTGATCTGTTAGCACTATTTGCAGCCTGATGTTTTTCCTTGGTAGCACACCACTACTGTGGGACATCATATTAAAGTGGCATTAAACCCAAAATCAAAAATCTACTATATTAGAGCTTACCAATCATTAGTTGTGGCAACTGCATTAGTTTTCTTTTTTTTAGGATTTCTTCCTTCTGTTTTCACCTGGTGATCTGGCCAATCTGGTAACAAGCCTCCTGTATCAGAGTGCCCCCACTCTGGATGACGGAGCACAGGAGGCACATTTGGATAGCAGCATTGTCCGTCTGGGGGAAGGGGAATGTTAGATGGACTAGCAGATTTAGATAACACTAGCAAAATGAATACAAACTCTAGCTCACACTGCAGTTAAGCAGTTACAGCAAATATTTATATTATTAATATTTATATGGGATAAAGGTTTTACATAACCAAAAACTGATCATTGTAAGCACCCTGTCAGTGGTAAATAGTTTGTCTCAAGAAAAACAGACTAACTGGCCAGATCACCAGATGAATGTAAAGGTAAGAAAACCTAAAAAATAAAAGTAATGCAGCCATCATGTTTAATGATTGGTATGTTGTAATATAAAAAATGTTTGCTTTTCAGCAGACAGGGACCCGATAGGCGGCTTGCAGACACTCAGCAGCAGGCGGCTTCCAGGGACACTCACGATAGGCGGCTTCCAGGGACACTCACGATAGGCGGCTTCCAGGGACACTCACGATAGGCGGCTTCCAGGGACACTCACGATAGGCGGCTTCCAGGGACACTCACGATAGGCGGCTTCCAGGGACACTCACGATAGGCGGCTTCCAGGGACACTCACGATAGGCGGCTTCCAGGGACACTCACGATAGGCGGCTTCCATCACGATAGGCTTCCAGGCTTTCCAGGGACACTCACGATAGGCGGCTTCCAGGGACACTCACGATCGGCTTCCAGGACACGATAGGCGGCTTCCAGGGACACTCACTCACGATAGGCGGCTTCCAGGGACACTCACGATAGGCGGCTTCCAGGGACACTCACGATAGGCGGCTTCCAGGGACACTCACGATAGGCGGCTTCCAGGGACACTCACGATAGGCGGCTTCCAGGGACACTCACGATAGGCGGCTTCCAGGGACACTCACGATAGGCGGCTTCCAGGGACACTCACGATAGGCGGCTTCCAGGGACACTCACGATAGGCGGCTTCCAGGGACACTCACGATAGGCGGCTTCCAGGGACACTCACGATAGGCGGCTTCCAGGGACACTCACGATAGGCGGCTTCCAGGGACACTCACGATAGGCGGCTTCCAGGGACACTCACGATAGGCGGCTTCCAGGGACACTCACGATAGGCGGCTTCCAGGGACACTCACGATAGGCGGCTTCCAGGGACACTCACGATAGGCGGCTTCCAGGGACACTCACGATAGGCGGCTTCCAGGGACACTCACGATAGGCGGCTTCCA